TAATGGCGACGGCTGCAGAATTAGTGCCACAAAACTATTTAACTGCTTTTGTGGAAGCGTGCATCAATTCCCATTTTCTTTTTTTCACACGCAGTCCAAAACATTGCAAGAGGAAGACAATGAAGACTTAGCAAAGCATGCGTGCCAACTGTGCATGCTCCAAATAAAAATGGATGCTTAGGGCACAAATGTACTGTACTGCGGTCGCACATTATATTTTCTCTTTTTGCATTTTTCTTCTGCCAAAAACACTGGACCTCAAGTTCACTATTTTCATACTTAATGGGTATAATTTTTCTTCTTGAGTCATTTGGCAGTTGGCAAACGTTATGATGAATTACAGCCACCAACTGGAGTGTGGATCTGGAAATGTGCGAAATGCCAGACTGACATGAACCCTCAATTGGACTAAAAAGTGGAACCGAGTGCATGTCTGCAGCCGACAATGAAAGTATGTCTGAGCTTTAGGTCACCATCACTGGCAGTACAATCCAATATCAACACTAACTGAGTCAGCTAATTTAAAAAGAGCCTCACACTGTTTAACAACCTGCTCCAAATACAGCAAAAGAAGCTGTTTTAGGCTAAATTATGTGACTAAAGTTAGCAGTGGGGGTTAATGTTTTTTTCCCATTACTGAGCACCAGTCTTGCTGCAGCTGACTTTCATCATAGCTAACTTGGTTAAAGTGCTTTAGCTTAGTTACAAGTGTTAATATGTGAACTAATGCAGTAGGCTACAGTGTATATGGGTGATTACCTCTGTCAGCCGGAAAAGCTGTATGATGAATGCAGGCTGCAGCTCAGTTGTGCTCCAAGGAAAGATATAAAGATTTTTATTTATTTTTTACACTCTGCATACAACATATTACACTGTATTGTTTATTCATGGAGATTAATAATTTTTTGTCTCTGATAATCTTCTACAGTTTTTTTGTGAGCTTCAGGGCTCTGTACCAGTCTGCCTCACCTTCTCAACACAATAGTATTTTTGTGTCTGAAAGAAATTGAATATAGTCTTTTTTTCTAAATTAAGAAATATATTCTGAATGGTTGAAATGAGCTCAAATTCCCATCTGCTTGATTAAATCAGTTAGGGTTATCTACACCGGAAGAAGCCTCCTTTAAGCATATTTGCACTGATGGATATTGAAAGATAAAAAACCGTCCTCTTCCATGCAATCATTTTATCTTTAATTATGTGTTTTATTAATGGCACTTTTTATATGGAAATGTGATTACATTAACTCTACATACATATTGTAGGTCTATTTAAAGCAGCACTTTTCCTTCAAAAAAATAAAAAATAAAAGGGGGACGGAGTGGCTATTTGAATATCTTTGATGTTCCTTTCAGTGTGTCTTCCTGACGCAGATTCACAATCAGCTTTCCGCCTGTCTGTCGGCTCTCTGCAGGAGAGATAGCGCTCTCTTCATTACGCGCTTCATTAATTTAAATGCTAATTGATTCTGCGAGGGCCTTTCAGACTGAGGGCCAAGTCCTGTCCCCCCCCCACCACCCCCATTGATTGTGTATTAGTGTGTGTTAGTGTGTGTTCTGTGCACCTGCTGGATCCTGGAGTGACACGTCCTGACAGAACAGCCTCTCCCGCCTGTCTGTCTGCCTCAAGTGTGGCACTGATATGGTTTGAGTGCTCCAAGCCAGAGAGACAAGTACTACACTACACTAAAAAAAAAACACACACACCAACAACCAGGCGCAGAGGGTAGTTTTAGGGCCCAAGAGGTGAAAATAAAAGCACAGAAAATGTGAATAAAGGCAGTTGGCATATTGTATGTAACTGGATGGATAAAACAGAGGATGCAGGGGGCAGTTAAATGATCCGTGCTTGGTTGCTAGGAGACACCGGGGCTGGATGGTAGAGATAAACGCTGGGATCCACCCCTGGCGGCGAGCAGAGGGTGGGAAAGAATGAGGGGGGGAGGCAGAGGGTAAGAAAGGGAGATCCTAAGATACAGAGGGGAGGTGAGGTGGTGGGTGGGGGAGGGAAAAGTCTGTGAGCAACAGACGGCGGCATCCCCGCTCCCCGTTCATGGGCCCAGATAAGCTTTGCTTTTCTCCCTTCCCTGCCCATTTTCCCTTCTTGTTTCTTTGTTATATCACAAAAAGTTGGTCCGGTTTTACACCATCTTTAAGTGCCCATTCAGCTACTCCCGGTCCGCATTCCAGACATGTTTAAAGACATAAAAATACTCCTTCTTCCTAAATAGGAACCTATGCAAATTTTGTTCATTACAAAGGTTTTATCTGTAGACGTAAGAGTTTTCCTACTTCACTTAAAAGTCCTTTCTAAGTATTTGTGCACTGGAGGCTTCAAACCTGCCTTCTAGTGTCAAACTTAGCACAGTTCATGATATAATAAGTCCAGGAGAAGTAACAATGAGTAAAACATATTTTTGAGGGGAGGGTGGGACTTCTAAGTCAGATTTAAAGGTGGTTTCAAAGACTATATACCGCCCCTACTCTCTTGTGCTCCCAGGTTAAAGGGTTAAAGGGCTCTGAACACTTATTTTCAGCATCATACTACAAGTTATGGAGTCCTACATGAGCTAGAACAGATCTGGTTGCTTCATGAGATATTTTTTTTCTCCTTTTTTATCTTTATCTTTTGAAGTGGCTTGGTGGGGTCACCTTTCTCTGTGCACCAATCAGAATTGAGCAAGATTTAAATCAAAACATGATGACATTTTGTAGGTTGTGTGCTAATCTTTCCAGGTCACTGTCAATCAAATCTGATCAAACCACACAGTCCTGGGTTTTTGTATGTTAAAATCATAATAAATAATACCAAAGGATGTGTTTTTTCCCTCAAACTTGAACCTTTATTGTTTCTGAATATTTAAATGTTTTTGAGAAAAACTTTTTCATCTAAGATTTCAGGGACTTTAGAGGCAACAAAACCGCAGAACATTACTTCTACTGTAAAGAATAAGGAATGTCTTTAAAACTATTTTAATATTTGAAAGTGAGAAGAGCTTCAGTGAAAATAAGTCAGTGAGTAATAAGTGTTTCTTGTTTGTTTACCTGTGTTTTTGACATTTGATATTTTTTAGGCAATATCTAAAGTCTGTTTGTTTTTTTTGTGTTGTCTGTGTTTGTTCAAATATACAATAGAGAATAAATAGAATATACATGCTTACCTTTAATCAAGCAAAGTTGAGCCTAAAAAATAATATCCTTAAAAACCCACCATGTGTAATGTGTGTAACTCAGATCATTACAGAGCCCACATTACCAGACACAATGCAGTGGAATGTCAGGCCCCGAATCACTGTAAATTACACTTTGCCATGAGTATTTAACACAACATCTCTGAACCTGGTAATCAAGCTTTCTGGCACAAAGTATCCAATCACTCAGACACTCAGTGATTACCTCAGCCCACTGCCGTACATCTGCCGAAGGATCAGTGCAGATTGCAACTGTTTGAATACAGCAAATGTGTAGGAGAAACTACAGTGGCCACAAGAGAACGCAAAAAACGCAGCCAATGTCTGGTTTGTCCATTCCAGGCCTCTGTAGAAACATGGCGGTTAAACATGGCAGACTCGGCAAACGAGGACCTGCTCCCTCTATAGATAAAAACGTCTCATTCTAAGGTAAAGAAAGCACCAGTCTAATTTTCAGTTGATCATACACTAATGAAACTGTACCTATGAATATTATATTCCACGTCTGCCAATAAAACTTCCTAAATGTTCTACACTGGACCTTTAAATTTATATGAGAACATGTTTCTTTTTCTCCATCCGTTTCCTTCCTCACTTGAACACATCATTAGGAGCAGAGATGAGAGTCTAAATTTGAAAGTGAAACTTGAGCCTCTACAGCTGGTGCCAGGAGGGAAACCATGGCTGCCACCATGTAAGCACAGGAAAGAGCTTCATCTCATGCCGTCATCCCTCATCAATCCGGACGACTCTGGTCAGCCCGGCACAAAAAGACAAAAAGAGGAGAAGAGCGCTTCCTCCACCAAATGTGAGGGAAGCAGTGAGTGCAGGTCGTGATTAGTTGTGAATGGGACGCAGCGGTCTGATTGGTGGAGAGAGCCGGGGGTCAGGCGTTCTGCCAGCAGCTCATACAAGGCTGCTGATTGCTTTTCATCCACTGATTACAGTAATTTAGATCTGCAGTAGGCCAAAGGGGCCTGCGTCTGGCAGGCTGGCTGCTGCTGCTCTGTCTGGGGAGGGGGTGACGGGGTTTTGGTTTGCTTAGTGATTTTGCTTTTGGGAGAAAAGAGTGAATGAGACTGGAAAAAGAACCAAACATACAGTGTTAAATCAGAAAAACACAGCAGTCACATTGAAAAAAGGTGTGATTCATGTTTGGTGCTGAGAAGGTCTTGGACGTATGATGAAGACCTCAAAACAGATATATGTGCTTATACTGAGGGTGAAGATAAATACATCCTCAAAAATCTGTTTTCTAAAGATGTTAAATCCATTTTGTATTAATCTGTTTTCCAAATAATTAATATCTCATTTTGGATTTAAACACTTCATTTACCACCATAATTAATTCCCCACATGGTGCATGTTTTAAAAATACATACCGCACAGCTTTAATTTTGTGGAAGAGAAAAAACAACGAATGCTGTATCACACATCGGTTTACTTCCTTTTGTCTTTCAAGCGGCCGTTTGGACACGCAGAGACCTTGAATAATCAAAGTTGATGAGGCAGTTAGTTGCGAATGGTTTTTCCAGGAGCGAAGGCGCTGATTAATCAAGGAACTGAGCAGCACTGGCCTCTTCACCTGCACACATTACAAGGTTAATCTCTCTATTGATTACAACAGCAGAATAAGCCAATACTTCACTACAGATTTTCTCTTTTCTCATGTGTGTATGTTTGTGCTTCTTTCTGTGATGCAACTGCAGATTCACAGGAATGATGAACGATGCTTTTGTTGATACCATCTTTCTACCACACCCATTAACCCATATTGAAAGAATAAATCATGTTAAGCACAAGATTAGATTCACATTTATTGACAAAAAGGGACATTTTTCAAAAGTTTTTTTCTTTCTACAGCAAAGGCTAAGGTATTTTCACAGAAGTATTAAAAACAATGACTTGTGTAAAGGGCATAAATATACATTCTGATGTCTGCTGACAGACATCTCAAATTTTCACAATAAAAGCTGGACTTTGATGAAGACAATAAGAGGTCCACAACCACACTTTGATCACGACAGGAAACAAATATTCCAATAACTGCCCGTCATTTAGTCTCCCTGGGTAATTATATAGATAACACTGTTCCAGAGATATCTACCCCAAAAGGAGTTTCCTCTTTTTTTTCACACAAACACATTCACATATGTACAAACACAAACAGTCAATAGAAAACCGGTGTAGTGTGTGAACTTCCCCCTGCCCCCCGTTTTGGTGACTCCACATCATGTCGTTCAGCGTGCCCGTCGTGTGTCATGTGTGTTTAGACAATACGTGTCCATGTGCACGGCTCCTCGGGGTGTTTGGACTCGCACTGCTTGCCCTCTGGGATCCTGCTTCAGAGGTGACCTAGTTCTCCTGATTGTCAGCAGAAGGCGGTTTCATCAGCTTGCTTTGTGCCGAGGCACTGAACTGTGCCTGGGACCCTGGGACAGGCCAATTGGACTTGTGTAATGAAGCTCATCACACACATGCATGCACGCACACACACACACACCGCTGCTGTCGTCAGGTCCAGGGCAGCAGAATTTATAACAGCCATTTATTACCTTCTCCTTTATCAAAGAAATGTGATTCCTCTGCGTGTTTCTGATGCATGCACCACACTGCCATTATGGTCCATTATAGAGGTGACAGAGATGGAGCAGAGGGTGTTGATGGATGCTGGTTCCCGGGCCGGCTGTCATTACTCCATCTATTGAGTGTGGCGTGCGAGACACTTCCCACAAAATGGCCGCGGAGCACCAACATGGCTCCGATTGCGAGGAGTAAAATGATTCACATCTGACGATCGGCACAAAATGTTAAACACATTCATTTGCTGCTTGCATGTGTTAGGAGTACTTCAAACAATCACCAGAAACAGTCCGACTGCAGTGATATCAGCGCCTCTTCACAGCAGAGTGTATCAATGAGCAATCTTTACACATATAATGTATCTTATGGTACTGTTTAGGAGAAACAGATGTGAAGAGATCCTTCAAAAAACAACTTAGCATGAGGAAATATGTACAAAAACACTGCCGATTCCCACACTGAGTATGGGTGTCTTAACACAACATACTGTTACACTGAGTGCAGCAACTCCACTTGATCCTAAAGTCTTTCTAGCCTACAGAATACTAATCAAATACAGAAGCAACAATGGCATTACATTCATATAAATAATAATAATCCCAGTAAACCCCAAGAGTTGCGTCAGCACTTTCGGCTTCATTCATGTGTTTAAAAATGAGAACTGAAGACCAGCTTCGACGTGTGTCCTTAACAACTCCCTTTAGAGGTGCAATAACTGTCCTTGAGGTTGCGACACCAAATCCCTTGGTATCGAAAAGAAAAAAAGTGTCTTTAAGCACTGTTCTGTACAGGTCAGGAGTCCTTGGAAGTCCATGGATTTTTTTTAAGGCCCAGGAGAGCTTAGGGTTTCACAGACAAGGGGATATCAGTTCATCTGGGTCTCTTTCCCTCTTTGAATGGCACAGATGAAGAAAGGAGCCGATACAGAGAAGTCTTTGTTTTTTTTTGTGATCACAATGTCTGAGCGTTCAATGGAGAGAGACAACCAGCAAATGAGGAGGATCAGTCAGTAAGTGAGCTGAAGTCCCGCTTCATTTTCAGGCGTTGATGGTTTTGAGTGTTTCATAAAATTAAAAAAAAGCAGAACATGAGAACATGATACTAGAGTTTTCTGTCCATATCCTAGGCTAAATGGAGTCAGTCAGTGCATGCACTTAAGTGACCGTCTTCTAATAGAGTTAATCAGTAAGCCAGGCTTCCACAGTAAGGTTGGGGGGTGGGCAGAAATCTGATTACTGGATTTACAGTAACCAGGATTACCAGCATAACCTGGTTTTCGCTGACTAACCTGGTTACTGAAATGTACGCAGACGCACTGATTGACGGTTAATTTGAGATTCATATTAAATGATTTGTTAGCTTTCAACAACTACAGCTCCGATTGGTCTACGGTATCTACACTCTCTGCCTCTACCGCTCAGTCACTGAAGCTGAAGTTGTTGTTAATAAAATTGTTGTTGGGAGAACAATTTCATCACGAGGTCCATTTAGTAGCTGTATCTCAGAATAAATGTCCAGTGCAGGTTCAGACACTAATTCATCCAAGAATATGGGCAGAGGGCTCCTGAAACAAGTTTGATGTCTTTCAAAAGACTAATGAATGAAACCCACAGTTGGAAACACATTGTCTGGCTGGCCTGAGAAAGGGGGTGGGACTCTGGCTCGCTATAGCCAGAGGTGCTCTGCATCCCCATCTGCTCGCTTGTGGTTGGAGATGAAAAAAGATGGTGAACCAAACTGCCCAGCCGCTTGCTCTCTCTCATCTCTCCTGTTTTATATGCAGCAGGTTCTCTGTCGAAAGTAATGAGTCACGTCAGCAGCTTTTAGCTTGCAGTGTCGCTGCCCCGCGGTAAAACACAGGAGAGGAATGATGGAGAGAAAAAGAAGAGGAAGATGGAGAGAGAGAGAGAGAAAGAGAAAGAGGGCAATGTGTGTCCATCTGATCATACAGTTTTTAGGCTCTGCTCCTGGCAGATTTTCCATCTATCTGTTTCTGCTTTCTCCATCTGTCCATCTGTCTCCCTTTCGCTTGTTGCTCCAAGGATAAAAGGGACAAGAAGGACGAGAGGGCTCCATGGATTCTATCTTTTTTTAGGCTCTTGCTTTTGTCCTTTTTGAGCAAGCTGTTCCCTGATCTTTCTGTCCATCCTTCACAGCCCTCTGCTGGCGTTGGGTTTCAGTTTGATGACCCACTCTCCTCCATGGTTACTGTTGTACAAATCCAGAAGGTGTGTGTCGGGATCTAGGCAGTGCTCACCTGCAGAAAACACACAAAAAATTACTAAAATCCCTGACTGTTGGAAGGTTTTGCAGCAAGCAACATAAAAATGTAGATTGGATTTTTATTTATCAATTACAACTTCTACTAACAGTTATTTTTATTAACGATAAATCTGCGGATTGTGTCAGTTAATTGCTTAAAGGGACACTTCACCCATTTGCATTAAGCTTTGTATCGTTAGAAACCCAGTCATATTTTTGAATGGTCGTGCACCATTCCCTCATTTTCCCCTGA